TGCAATATGATGCAATAACAGCAATATGTTGCTTCTAAAATTGCTGAAAACAAAATACATAAATTCTGTGAAATGCTTTCATTGCTGATGCTAAGGCTATGCTAACAAGCCAAAACCTTGGCTGAATTATCAAAAGTTTACTCAAGCCCCTTCTGGCACCACACTGGCCTCTAGTGGATATAATGGAAAGTGCACTCGGTGTGGTTCAGTGAAAAGGTGTGTTTTGGATTCCTAAACACGTCAATTTGAAATCCTTGAGCACAACGACTACAATTAAAGGATCAGTGTATGAGATCAAAGAAGCTGGGGTTGTTCTAAAACTAGCACCTATTGGTCTTGCTAGCCAAAACAAAGCAACAGGCTTTATTTGGGCTGGAAGTAAATCACAGTTCGTGGCTGATTAATCAAGGACTGACCCTGAGCTAGTCGTCTCATAATACAGGAGTTAGTTTTAATGGCGCAATGGATTTTAAATGAGATCGGTGGTATCCATCGGACTAGGAGGACAGCTGGCTTTCTGAGGGCCTACAATCTCCTGTGCTGGCCTTGTCTGAGGACTCACCGCTAATACTAGGAAAACAGAAGCTAATCTCTTACACCAACATATGTGGCTTCCAGCTCAACGCATTTATCATCATAATAATAGGCTTTCATGAGGACCTAGCATGCTAACAGCACCCTGAACTAGCTCGGCCTCGTAAATGAAGTACTATTGCAGACCAACACTTACCGTTAAAGATATGTAAGAAGGTGGCTGTTCGCAATCACATGATTCCTCCATTTATTTCTCTTTGTCAATGAACTATATATGTTCCAGGTTCAACTGACAAGAGAACTAAAATTACAAGTATAAAAAGCAAACACAAGGTCCTTCAGCTCACGGAGTCCAATACTGGCCATATTTCAAGAACATATTTGTTTGGTCAAATATTCCTCAGGTTCAGCATAGGGATAATGTGAAACCCATCTGACCAAAGTAATGAAGGCGGCATGATTCTGGAGCAATTGGTGAGTCCCATGTTTCCCATGATTCCTTGCACCAGAACGTGCAAGGTAAACAGGATTCATCCTGTCCTGAAACTTACGGTTGAGTCATTGACACATCAATGGATTTTTCGCAACTACATACAAATCTGACTCATTTACATAATGGGGGGGTTTAAACAGTTAAAGTAAATTCAATTGTGCAATACCGACAAATGAACCACAGAACTTTTACAACATATTTATTGTATGAATGTAAAATCCGACAAGCAGTGAATTTCGTTTATGGTTGTGGAACAGTACCTCAGTAAGTGTACTTTTCTCTCCTTAGTCTCTTTTGATCACACACGATTAAGACATAAAAGGCAGAAGTGAATTAACTTTAATGATTATTCATTGTATAGTTTAATTCATCTGTTTGCAAGTAATAATTTATTTCTTTAGGGTTTAGTAGGGAGGCGGGTGCCATTTATTTTTGACTTTTTATCCTGTTTATGTTTGCAAGGGAGTTAACTTATTTCGCTGCACTCTTGTTTCCTTTTCTTTTAGTTTAAGTAGTTTGGTTAATAAGGAGTTAGACCAATTATGTTTGTTGATTTGGCAATACCCCATTCTGAATACCCTCTTTAGCTTAATTTGTAAATATAAACTACTTTCTTCCATGAAATATGTGGTTATTTGGGATGTTGTGAAACAATTCTGGGTCTGGAGACGAGGTGGCTTAATGCTGTTGCACATTCATTTCACCACCATTTATTTTTGCTGTTGATATCCTCCCCTAGACCAATCAGGAAATTGTTAATTAATAGAGAACTTTATTTTATAACTGTAAAGCCCAGTCTGACCCTCAAGACCTATCATAAAACCTGGCTACATTCGACACGTGCAAAGTCCAGGATTTCACCTTTTAACCGGGTCTGTCTCAATGTTCCACTGATGAAATCAGAGAGCGAACAGCAGATGGCTGCACTCGTGAAAGCAAAGAGAAAGAAATCTTTCCATCTTAACTATGAGGTCACCAGTGACATTTGAGTTTGCTTGAGACACTGGCCAGAAGGACACCTTGCATTGTGTGTTCCCTCTGTCCTGTTCCTCAATAAAGGCCTTCCATAGGTCTGGATGAAGAAAACAGCTTGTTGGTACAGCTGGTAAATTTTTTGCAGGCATCTTTTCACTCAAATATTTAAGCATCCCATCTTGGTCAATCATGCAAAGACTGTCCAATGTCTGTCTGGAAAAGGCTGGAAAAAAATCGAACTTCCCATTCTAAGTGGATGGAGCATCAGAAGTATTGGATGGTTCTGGAGTAGAAGCAGCACCGGGATGTTTGGAAGGTTCTGGAGTAGAAGGAACAGGAGGAGGTTAGGGAAGTTTGGGGGCAGAAGGACCAGCATGAGGTTTGGAGGGTTTTGCAGTTGAAGAAGCAGCAGGAGATTTGGAGAGTTCTAGACGAGGAGTAACAGGAGGTTTGGAGGGTTTTGGAGTAGAAGCAACAGGAGTTGTGGAGGGTTTTTGAGCAGAAGGAGGTTTGGAGGGTTCTGGAATTACATAAATAAGGCCGCCTCCTTCGATCCGATTAGCCACCACAATCATTTTAACATTGACAAGCGCTGTTAGACCACTGAGGCAGACCAGCCTAAAAATGCAACTTGTAGCAGTATCAAGAATATCAAATATTGTTTAGTTTTGCCATTTTTAATTATTGGGGGGAACCTCCTGCCCTCAATGTCTGCATTCAAATGTTTAATTGGTCGAAGACCCTTATATTTATCTGTTAAGAAAATGGTTAGCAAAGCTGGTGAGATATAAACTTTTCTTTTCTCTGAAATGCTGAAGAACAGTCTGAACCATTTAGTGTCTGGAAGACATTAGCATTGAGAAAACAAACAAAATTTCCAAAATCAACTGTTTTGAAAGTGTACCCGGCTTCAACGCCGATTTTAACTGATCCAGCAGAAATCTGTTGATGTAAGCCCTGTGGAAGTTGTTCCCTGCCGTATTATATGTTAACCACATTTGGACTCTCTCTCAGCCTCTCATCCACTTTTTCTAAGCCAACAATAACGGGTGACTCTGAGTCAGCAAAGCGTTAATGTGTTTCCTCTACAGTCCTTCCATGTTCCAACCATTTATGTGTGTGTACAATTGCAGTCTGAACATTATAATGAGGTAAAAATCACCACAAAATAATCAACATTATATCATCTCCAACAACATTCAATCAAAACAGACTTTATACGTTTTGAAGGAGACAGTCACACTAAAGACGATAATGGGACCATTATTATGGTTGCAAAGAATAAAACCTAAAAAGAATGTTCCAGGAAAAGTGTGACTTAGCAATACAAAGCTAATGGTCAGTCTAGGTGAAAACCATCTCATATAGCACACTAAGAACTTGGTAGGTAAGCAGCCACAAGAATAAAAATAGCATTGCACTAACAACTACTCAGAATCTTATTAATCGAATACAATGGTCTGGCAACCACTCAAAACACCCTAAAATCCAGCCAGAACACACTAACAACCATCTAACAAGGTGCAAGAATCCACACGGAATGCAGAAGCAACCAAATAGCAATGCGCTAACAACTACCAACATAGAACATGTAAGTAAACACACAGCAATGCAATGGGAACTACACAGCAACAACCTAAAAAACTTAGAATGTGCCCAAAACACCACAGGAAAATAGCAACATGCTAACAACCAGAAAACACTTCAGCAAATGCACAGCAATGTCTTCACAGCCACCAGAGCATCCTAGTCATTTGCGGTAGTGAGTTTTTGTAAAGGGAAGCACCACAAATAAATTAGTTAGTCCAGATCTTATGAAAAAGTATTTGTCTAAGGCAGGGGTGTCTAAAGACAGTACTGGAGGGCCAAAACACACATCTGGAGATTCCTAGTATGCCTGACAAGACCTTGATTAAGCCTAGTTCACACTACGTGATTTTAAGCCCGATTTAAGCCCGATTTGCAAATCGTTGAGTCGCCGACAAGTCAGGGTGTTATCGCGTGCAAATCGCGGGCGATTAGCGGACGATTAACGCTCGCCAATCAGTTAGTGTGAAAGAGCCAACAACGCATCAAAGACAGCTCGCAGACAGGTCACCGAGCTCAGAAAAATATCTAGCATGCTAGATATCTCGCGCAGTCGCGCGACTCAATCTCAGTGATGTCATGAGTACAGCCAATCATAGCAACGCATGGGTTGAGGACACCAGGTAAATCTTACTTTTTCTTTTTGCATTTTTTTTTCTCAGAGCATATCGTCGAGCAAACAGTGTGCAGCACTAGTTTCTGTCTGACGTCCATATTCGCGTGTTGTGTTCTTCTCTGCAGTTTCGCGTCATTTCTGGTTCGTTTTATTGCGTGGTTTTTCGTTACAAAACATGGTTTCTAGACCAGATAGAATCGTGTTGTTGTCAACTCGTTATTTGTTTGATTATTTTCAGGATTTAGACCGTATTATAGTACTGAAACAGCTCTCATTGAGTCACAAATGATATGCTCTTATCATCCGATCGTGGTTGTATCTCTATGTAGTGCGTTGTTAACTCGTGTAGTGAGTTACCTCCTGTTGTGGATCAATCACGTTGTGTTGTGTGGTGTGAACAGCTAAACAACTTGAACACTCATGATTTCACTGAGAGCAAGTCATGTAGTGTGAACTGCACAGTTCAGCCCGACATTTTAAAATCATGTAGTGTGAACTAGGCATTAGCTGTTTGTGTTTGTTTAATTGTGGTTGGAGCTAAACATTGCAGGACAGTGGCTCTCCAGGAGCAGGACCTGGTCAAAGGTCTACATAGCTAAAATAAAAGCAGGCCACCTGCTGGAAAATCCAGTTCAAGCACCCATGTTCCAAAACTTGACAACTCTGAACTTCTCCGATATTCTGAAGAAGCTAGGGCTTTCTACAACTCATAACCCAGACATCTGAAAAACATTTATTCATTGTCAAAGAAAACACACTCTTAACATGTGGAGAAAAGAACGAAAGACACAGTAATGTTCAAGACATTTTAATGTAGTTTCATTAAACTGTAAAGTAAATCCTGACAGAAGTACATCTGATTAGTGAATAACCACCATTGAGTGTCCTCTAGGTCTAAAAGTCTAAACAAAAGTCCTTGCAGAGTAAAACAAGGCTTGTAATAAATGAGAGAAAGAGCACTTGAAGAAGACTTCCTGAGGTAAACTTTACTCAAATGGGGCATTTCTGAGCAAATTCTTCACTTCTCTTTCTTAGCAGCGATTCTTTTAGAGCGGCGGAGGCCAATGACCTCAGCCTCTGGGGTCTTTGAGCCAGTGGTGGTTTTGGAAGGTTTCGAGGCAGTCTGTGCCTTTAGGGTGGCACGAGGTTTGGAGGGTTTTGGAGCAGGAGCAGCAGCAGGATGTTTGGAGGGTTTTGGAGGAGAATCAGCAGTGGGCTGTTTGGAGGGTTTTGGAGCAGAAGGGGCAGTAGGATTTCTGGAGGGTTTTGGAGTAGAAGGAAGAGCAGGATGTTTGGAGGGTTTTGGAGCAGAAGGGGCAGTGGGATTGTTGGAGGGTTTTGGAGTAGAAGGAAGAGCAGGATGTTTGAAGGGTTTTGGAGCAGAAGGGGCAGTGGGATTTTGGAGGGTTTTGGAGTAGAAGGAAGAGCAGGATTTTTGGAGGGTTTTGGAGTAGAAGGAAGAGCAGGATGTTTGGAGGGTTTTGGAGTAGAAGGAGCAGTGGGATTTTTGGAGGGTTTTGGAGCAGAAGGGGCAGCAGGATGTTTGGAGGGTTTTGGAGCAGAAGGAAGAGCAGGAAGTTTGGAGGGTTTTGGAGCAGAAGGGGCAGTGGGATTTTTGGAGGGTTTTGGAGTAGAAGGAGCAGCAGGATGTGTGGAGGGTTTTGGAGCAGAAGAGGCAGCAGGATGTTTGGAAGGTTTTGGAGTAGAAGGAAGAGCAGGATGTTTGGTGGGTTTTGGAGTAGAAGGAGCAGTGGGATGTTTGGAGGGTTTTGGAGCAGAAGAGGCAGCAGGATGTTTGGAAGGTTTAGGAGTAGAAGCTGCCGAAGGATATTTGGAGGGTTTTGGAGTAGAAGGAGCAGCAGGATATTTGGAGGGTTTTGGAGTAGAAGGAGCAGCAGGATGTTTGGAGGGTTTTGGAGTAGAAGGAGCAGCAGGATGTGTGGAGGGTTTTGGAGTAGATGTAGCAGCAGGATGTTTGGAGAATTTGGGAGTAAAAGGAGAAGTAGGGTGTTTTGAGGGTTTTTGGACTGCAGGTGTTTTCAGGGGTTTAGGAGCAGAAGGAGCGGCAGAGGCTTTAGGTCGTCTGTGGACTTTTTTCCGTGGTTTAGTTGACTGAAGTGCCTCCTATGTGAGCCAAAAGTACTTGTCATTGACTATAAATTTGTATGTGCAGATGGTGGCCCGGTCACACCAAGAACGATAAATTTCATTAGAAGCGTGCTCCAGATTTGTTGTCTGCAGCTTTCAATGCTCAATCTCTTTGAAGTCGGGTGGATTCTGATTGGCTTCCAAGGTTTTTATTGATAAAAAATTGTTATCATTAAATCTTGTGTGTTGCCTTGACTATGCTCCTAGAATTATGGTTATTAAAGCTTTACAGCTATTATTACAATTATTGTCCTTGGTGTAAACGGTCCTTAGAGGGATAATTTACGCTTGAATAAAAATTAAGTCATAATTTACTAGTTCTAATACCATATGCCCTTCTTTCTTTTATGAACACAAGAATAAGGAAATAATGATGTCCCGCTCACGCTCGTTCATATAATGGCAGTTACCAGCATCAAGCTTTTTTTAAAAAGAGGCAAAAAAGTATTACAAAATGATCCCATTGATTAGCCTGACTTAGTTCGTCATACTCATTTTCTAATAAGAAAATGAGTCTGATATCGCTCCATTGGGCTTTGATTATGAGGCGCGTCTTAACCGAACCAGGAAAAAAAAACCCTCTGCACTCAATTGGATAGTCGGTAGACCTACAACCAATCAGAGCAACGCAGTAAGTCAACTCCTTTGCATAGCGCCGTTTTCAAATACAGAAATTACTTATTTTAGATTAGAAGTTAAATAATGATGGTTGCTTCTTTTACTTACTTCTCCATGAGTGCCACCAAAGGAGAAACCATAATGACCACAGGCTTTTCATTACGTCCCATCTTCTTAGCGACCGTCAGAGCCAGCTGATAAGTTACACTTTTCCCGAATCATGTTGGAAGGACGCCAAAAATGTCTCTCCGATCGACAAATGCCTTGATTGCAGTTTTCTGTTTGTCTATTAAAATTAATGTGCTGTCGATTTATTTTACAACAGACGCGACAGCGGAATGTACAGTATACATCTCAATTCTCCAGCTGCAGTCATCTTTGACAAGCGCTCTTTGATAACGTGATGATTACGTCCTTGCAGATCACCTGTCCATCATCGTATAAAGCCTGCCCTGGCAATTTGATTGGCCCATTCATTTCTTGCCTGATCATAATTTCTCCTCAATGGATCGAGTCACGACCAAAAAAGCCCGAACTCCGTTGTGGGCGGAGTTCGGGCTGGCATCCAGGCCACCCATTGATTCCCTCTGCACTCAAAGCATTTAACAAATGCGCGTTTCTCACAAATTGTGTGATTTTTCTGGGCGACACATTAGAACACCAGTATCAGTAAATGATGACTTAATTTGAATTTTAGGGTGAACAATCCCTTTAAGTCTTATTTTGTTTGAATGTCTGCAAAGTGCTAAAAGTATCAATAGCAAATAGTGGTTAAAATGGTTCGACTAACCTCTTTACGGGACATCTTGGATTCCAGTGCAGATATTTCTGATGTAAGCGCATGCACATTTACCTTCGCAGAAAAAAAGGATCATCTCTAGTGCTTTTTTAACACTTTAAACATACTAATTTCAAACAATGGAGACATGCTCTTGGTAGCAATCACCTTGACTTTGTTTATGCTCTCCTTGTCCTTCTCAATGTCCTTCGTGAGTTTCTCCACCTTTTCCCTACAAACAAAACAAATGTAAATCTAAAATGATGCTAATTTGCTTTAGCTTGTTGAGGAGAAGTGTAGAATTGATAAATTAGCAAGACAAGAAGAGTTTGGGATGGGCAACGTTCTTAAAGACCATCCAAAACATGTTTGCAAGCGCATAGCAATATCCTAGCATCATGCTAACGAGTTTAACGCAAGTAAGCAACATTCGAAAATGTCAAAACCATTGTGTACAAGCTGTTGGGTAAATACCTCACTACTTGTGCTTTTTCCACCTCCGCCTTGAGTTTGCTGACCTCTGTCTTCTCCTCAGCAGTAGTACAATGCACATCAGCAACCTTCAGTTTAGCAATAAGAGCTTTAAAATCAAGCCCTTCCAGCTGACTAGAGCTGTGGGACCTCAGAAGTATTTCCATGGAAATTTGCTGTATCCGTTCACATGACGGCACCTGAAACATCAGAGCCAAGTATTGAGATCAAACAGGTGTTTCACAGGCATTACATTATTAAAATGGCACATTTGAAGAGAAAATGCATGGCAAATGTGTAAGAGACCTTAGAGAGCTCGGTTTGTATTTTGTCACGTGCAGCAAGGGCCAAGTCCCGCATTTGTTTCGTGTTCCTCAGAGACCTCTGCATGTCGCTTAACTCTTGCTGTAAACAATATCGTTTTCTTGGTTCAATTCAATTATTGAAAAAGAAAATCTTACGATGATAATATTCAGATGATCAGTACAGGCATAAATGGGAAAATTAGAAAAGGATGTTCAAAATATCATAATACCATACCACTAATTTTTACAGTATGCAAAGAATACCATGCAAAGAATACCAATTATATTTACAAAAATGTGCACATGCAAAATAATAAGTAATATAAACTTTGATTTTTGACATAAACATTGTATTAAACATAGTAAATAACCATTTAGAATGGTTCAGCATTGCATAACATGAATTGTTTTTAAATAGTAGGCAGTATTTAGTGTGCACTAATTTGCTTTTTTGAAAATATGCATTCATTAACCTGTGCCTGTTGGACTTGCTTTTTCAATTTGGTTTGATAGATAAACTCCAGGTCTGTGTCTGTCCACTGGTATCCCTGCATCCCCTGGATGAAGATTTCAGGGTCTGCATTCCCACTTGTTGCTGGATATTCATACAAGAGAATGTTAAAGAAATAATATGATACTCGACAAGAACCAGTGCATTTTTGTGATGTGATATCAATACTTACAAGTTTAGAAACCGAGAAATAAGTGAATATGATCAAATGAAATCACCTGATGCAACTGTAGAACTAGACCTCCTGATGGACATCCTCTCATCTTTAACTTCGGGCTGCTGGAGAACTTCATTTGATCCATTGTAAGAAATGCGTTTAGTTATTTCCTTGGAAAGAATGAACTAATTAAGAAATGTTATCCTTAAAAATGTGAAAATTCTAAAACAATAATAAATTGCATAGTTTATTCACAAGCTAAATAATAACATAAGTATTTTTAATGTCAAGTAAAATAGAAAGATAAAGCCAAAATGCTAGCTTTTACTTCATAATTATTATTAATATGAATGTTATCATTCATTTTTTTTTCTAACTGCGAAAGAACAGACCTCAACAATACTAGCACATAAGTATTTTTTCTATTTTAATGTTGTTGTTTTTTCAGCCGCAGAGCGTTGAGCTCTGGTTTTTATTTATTTTTATAAATTGTATTTATAATTATACATATTCAGAAATATTTTTAATCAAAAATACATATAAAACACATTTTTATTGTTGCAGCGTCGCGGTCATTTGATCATTAGGCTAGATCATTAGGCATTTTTTTTAAATGGTTTGCATGGGTTATTGGACACACAAAAATGATTTGTATATTTATGGAGGTCATAAAAAGGAAAAGAAAAAAGTAAAAGAAATAAGGCCTAGTCTATTTCCAAATAAGTAATTTTACACACCCGCATTTGTATTAAAAAAAAAAAAAAAAAAAAAAAAAGCCAATTGTCTGTTTTTTTGTTTACCTGACCACATGGCTCATCTTTGACCACTTTTTCTGATGTTGGAGAATTATCTGGTTTGCTGGGATGCCGTTGTGTTGTGACTCTTTCAATTTTGGCTGGAGGTGTCCTCTCTAACTGTCGCCCGACAGGTACAATGTTTGGATGTTCATTGATTATTGATCGCGCTAGCGAAGGCGAATCAAAATTAAGCACCTTTTTGATATGTTTCAATTTGCCTCTCTTCGAGCTCATATTAGCAGCCCTGTGTAGTTGTTTTTGACCTGCTAAAAAGTAGCTGGGTTTGGTTCAAGGACAATGCAACAAGCTCTCTGCAGTTCGAGAAGAAGGTAAAGTTACGTAGGCTACATGTGCTGATGACGGCTGGTATGGCATTTGACGGCCACTAAAGCAGCACACGCTATCATCACGCTGTTTAAATCATGAAAGATGCAGTGTATCTTAGCTTTTTAGCTGATTTTCGATAGTAAATATTACTTTTCTTTTCTATACCATATTTACTAGCGTCACTGTTCAAAAAAAATCATTTTAATCTTTACGCAAGGCCTCGTCCGCTCAGACTGCTGCAATGAATTAATCGGCAGAGGGCGCCAACACTGTGGTGACTGGCCACGTTGTATCCTAAACATTTGTTAGGCTATTATGTGTAGATTTCGTTTCGTTCAGAATATCAACCCAAGATTAAAAACATTATAGATATTAGATATTAAACACATATATATATGAAGAGTTCAGATGCAAAAGCCTCTAAATGCCATTTGAAATTTTCTTCTTTAATGATGATTTTTGTCAAACTTGTATATTCAAGTTCAGTAATTTCACTTAAATAACAATTAATAGGTAATTATCATTGCCATTTAAGTGAAATTACTGAACATAAATATACAAGCTTGATAAAAATCATCATTAAAGAAGAAAATTTCAAATGGCATTTAGAGGCTTTTGCATCTGAACTCTTCATATCCATATTTTGTTCTCTAATGCAATGACATTAGTGTGGCATCTCTAGGCCTGTTTCACAGACAGGGCTTTGATTAAGCCAGGATTAGCCCTTATTTAAATTAGGACATTTAAGTAGCTTTTTAAAATGTGCCTTAAACAAAATCCATCACTGGTGTGAATCTTAAGACAAATCAGTAGTACATTAGTACACTGGTAGCCTATATTTTAATTTGTGTGAGTTCAATTGCTTTCATTTAAAACAGCTCAAACATGCATTTTAGTTTGAAACTAGATTTAAGTCTAAGAAACCAGCCATTAGTGTTGCTGACTGTGTCCGAATCGTCAGAATACTAAGCAAATTGGTAAGTATCTTAAAGTACATAGTAGCTATAAGTGAAAGGTTTGGTGTCAGAGCAGAGATCATTTTTATTCAGCAATAAATGTAAAGCATAACTTTAAGACAGTGGAACTACTTGTTATAAAAACAAAAACAAAGCACAAAACAATGAATGTACAAAATGTTATAGTTATTGTATAGGATGTTTAAGCAATGCTACAACAATAACAACAGCGATAATACACCAATACTATTATCTTGCCACTCAAACAAACAGATTGTAAATGTTTAGTGCTTCAGCTTTTTAATATCAATACAAACTTCTCAAAGCAATTACAATATTAAGCTATTTATCTTATAGTTTAATACTGTTCACTGACTGTAAAAGTGAAAAGATAGATGTCTCTTTCGATGCTGAAGGGAGTGCATCAAGAACTGATGGCTCCTAAATATCATCCAATCAGTTCCTGATGCAGTATCACCAACATCAGAAAGTTCTTCAGATACCCAGAATTTAGTGATAGATGGATTGATTAATTTTGATGGATGAACAAGTCTGTGAATCTATAATTGAATGAATAACAAACACAAACATTTACATTTTGAATTAAAGCTTCTTTTCCACAGGTTTCTTTTCCACAGGTGTCTGTATTGTATCCGATGGTGTGCGGGTGCTGTGTGTGACAGAACCCCAGCAGCGCCTGTGAGAGGGGTGACACACTACTCACAGTTGCCAGCTGAGATTATGCCAAAACTCAGCTGCGCGAGACCGGGGTCCTCCAGCAGGGGGCGTACAGATGTTCACATCCCCAGAAAAGGTAACACATTCCAACTACTTTAGCTACTGGAGAGCTGTAAGCACATGTTGATCAACTTTGGTGTAACAGTGAAGCAGCTATTGTAAAATAACAGATTAGCATTTTAGCATTAGATTAGCAAAGATGTACTGAAGTAAAAGTCAGATTCAGGTGCAGTTGAGGTGGGTTTTCTCTCAGGTTTTGGGTGTAAACAGACTACTCAACCTCTACAGGTCAATGTGAGACTGTAAACACATCACAGTTGCCTGCAGAGATTACCCAGTCGGCTCATCGCATCTTTAGCTGTTTGTTGTGATGCTAGTCAATAACAAAGAGATTGGGTTTGAACTGAGCAGTGTTCTCAAATGGTGGCTTGTGTGTGGCCCAAAATCAATGATAGAAAAACAATGCTTAATTGGAAAATAAATTTGCTTATCAACTTTTAGGTAGTATTTGTGTGTGTGTGTGTGTTTGGGGGGGTGAAGTCAAAGCGTATGTACCCCTGGTTCTTTCGAGATTTTCCTATGGGTTTTTTGTTTTCAATTTATGTGTAAAATAAAGCCTGTGGAAAACATCATTCGACTATACTACACACTCACACCCCAAACTGCCATATATAGGTACTTATGCAAACTGACATTTTCAAAAAATAAACATAACTGTTTCAAAATTCAAGTTTTCACTAATTTATAATTTATGCTGTAGAGCAAAAAGTCAAAGTACAGTCAAGTTATGTTTACCACAGACGTTATTTTACACATAAATCGAAGATCTCCATTATAAAACCACACTGAAAAATCTCGAAGGAAGCAGCAGCGAATTCGATTTCACTCGAAAAAATGCTGGGTCAGTTCAATGTTCACCCATGTTTGGGTCAAATATCGACAAACCCAACTGTTGGTTTAAATTTTTAAATTACATTTGTAAACCCAACAGTTGGGTTTTGTCCATATTTGACCCAAACATTTGTTGAAACAACCCCGCATTTTTTAGTGTTCCGGATTCTGACGTCATACATCCACCAATAAATTGTAAGAAAGGGGTGGGGTTTAAGCGGAGTTAATGATTGGAGAATCTTGCTTGGTTATGTTTGACATTTTGTTAGTATGTAAATGGGACTTATGCACTGGTAAATGTTGCAATAAGAACAATAACTTGCAGAGGGTGAAGTTTTATTTCATGGCAACTTTAAAATCAGAGCATTGATTTTACACAAAAAACTGCTTCTATTGTTCACATTTGTAAGTCGCTTTGGATAAAAGCGTCTGCTAAATGAATAAATGTAAATGTAAAATGTACAGTAAATGGATTCAGATTGTCCCAAATTTCACTATAGACAATCTTTAAAATTTTGCAAGGTAAATAAAATACATCACAGACTGCAACAAGGGTGAACATGGTTTATGCTATAGCCATGCATTTTGTTAGTGATGAATTGAGCATGAAACTATCGAGTTAGACAGTTCAGGCTAATATTAATAAATGTAAATGTTCGATTTTAGCCCTTTCCCTGCCAGCATTTTTTTTATGTTGCCAGCCTACGCCAGCATTTTTAGTCATTTTCACAAAAAAATTCACCTAGATTATTTTTGATGTATGAATATCTGAACATGCAATATATCAAAAGTATAAAAACATATGTTTTATTCTAGCTTCATGCATTCTTTTTTATCAACACTTAAATGTGGGTAAGTTTCATTAAAAAAGCAACGTTTTTACGCAAAAAGCTGAGAAAATCACGTTTTTGTCAAAGACTACATCTGGATCATATTCAGAAAGATCGCTTGCACAGCCCTATACCCTATATATACAGCCCTATATATTTTTGATGATCTTTCATATGCATCCGCTTACATATGCGACCGCTCGTTTCTGCTTCTTCTTTTCCTGTGTTTTTATCTGGAGATTCTGTACTCGTTCAGGAGAGGCGTAATAGTATGGAAGCTTGTTTCCGCAACAGAATAAAAAAGATAATTGCGACTTTTTATCTCACAATTGCGATTTATAAAGTCAGAATTGCGTTATATAAAGTCGCTATGGACATTATAACACGCAATTGAGAGATATAAAGTCAGAATTGTGAGACATAAACTTGCATATCTGAGGAAAAATTACAAGTCTTTATAATTGCTCGCAATCTCACAATTCTGAGAATATGAGATTTGAACTCACAATTTAGTGTAACAAAGTCAATATTGCGCGATGTAAACTCGCAGTTGTGAGATAAAAAGTCGCAATTATCTTTTTAATGTTTTAATCTGTGGCAGAAATAAGCTTGCATATAATAGCGCCCCCTACCTTATAGCAGCGATAACGCGGAAAACCGTAAAAACTTGTCATTGGCAGGGAAGCATTTTCTCATAAAAGACGAGTTAACTTGTCAAAGCGCAGAGTTAGTCACGATTGTCTTTTCTCCACAATTGTGACGTATATTGAAACGAAATGGCGTCTCGTACGAAAACAAGGAATTGATTAGATCGTTTGCTATTGGCTATATGCACGCATAAATTCCGCATTTGACGCAAGGATGCTCGTCCATTTCCGGTTGTGGAGATTAAAGCAGAGGAAAACCGAGGAAAACGGGATTATGGCAGAGTCTTCAAAATTTACTGTCCTCCCGTCTTTGAAACGAAACGTTCATACGTTTAGATGTAATTTTATATATAGTTAGGTTTATTTAATATAATTTTAAAAAGAAGCATAAACACAACGAGGGGTGTCAGTTTTATCTGTTTTTGTGACTAACGTTTCATTATTATAACCATGGAGTATAAAATTCAATATAAATTCTCAGTATTGCATTGGACTCTGCGATCGGCGGAAGTTATCGAGCATCCTTACACCTTCACCGGAAATAACGCCGTGCATAGAGCCCATTGCTTCGATCTCATCTGACTCACTAGTTGCTGGAGGCGAGGAGAGAAGAGATGTCGTTATGAGGATACAATATTGTGAACAAAACAGATGAATAATTAATGATAAACATTGCAATATTCCATAAATAAGTACTCCCAGAGACGGTGACTTTAAGAAAATGTTTGTTTTACGATAAACAGTTTTGCTACAGTATTAGGTCCTGAATCCAATTGAGAGGCACTGTTTTATATACAGTTGTTTTTGTGTTTGCGAGCGCATGATAGTTGAAGTGTGCCGTAAACAAACACTCTAATCCGTTAAGGCCGAGAACCGACGTGTGAGGGGCAGTTTAGCCTCTCCCAGCTGGTGAGCTGAAGGGCGTCTCCCCAAGGCATCTGGCGTGTGTCCCCCAATAACCCCCGCACCCCCTCAACTACACACACACACAAACACACCCTTCCTCAGCAAGACTGTGATCCCCGCTGCTGTCAGGGCCCGCTGGTCGCCATGGCAAACTCACAGGAACCTGAGCCTGTATTGTCAGGGGGCGTCCGATGTGTATGTCCCACTCGCCGTCTCTTCTTTAGAGTCACAGCTCGGGTCCTTTGACACCCCTGAACACTGCAACAAATTGAGAAAGACGGAAGAAAGGAGTGAGGGAGAGGGAATGAGGGAGGGAGAGAGAGAGTAGCCGTTGTGTGTTTGCTAGACTAAGTTGTGTAGGACAGATCAAAGGCCAGTTCTTCCAAAACTAGTAGACCTTTTACAAAGCATGAGGGGCTTAGCTTTTGTGGGAGTTGCATTACTGAC